ACGTGACCCGTGAAGATGCGGGGTAAAACAGGTCTTCAGTAACCCATGCTTGCCCTAAAAGGCATAAAAGGCGACTAACGGGATCAGGTGCTCACACTCCCAGATTTGGTTGATGCATGTCATTGATGCTCATGATGTCAGTCACTGGGTTGTCTGGTCCAAACTCAATTATTTTACAGACCACCTTCATATAGCTGGAATATTGCTGTCTGCAGCATTATGCAACAAACAAACAAACCAACAAAAGTGATAATATATAGATGATATGTATGAAAAAGATGTTTAGTTAATGATGGATCAGGTGATTGAGCTCCAGGTTGAACCAGTCACATATAGGTTTATAGGTCGGCCCTCTGCACTTGTTGGATCAAAGCAGATGTTATCCATTTGCATTTATTGGTATAAATATAAGTCAGAAGGAATGCGAACATTAATGACTTGTGGTGTAACATGTCGCAGGTACCATGTAGGGCCACTGCTGACAGCTTGTGTCAGGTACCATGTAGGGCCACTGCTGACAGCTTGTGTCAGGTACCATGTAGGGCCACTGCTGACAGCTTGTGTCAGGTACCATGTAGGGCCACTGCTGACAGCTTGTATGAAGTGGCAGGTACCATGTAGGGTCACTGACTGCTGACAGCTTGTATGAAGTGGCAGGTACCACGTAGGGCCACTGCTGACAGCTTGTATGAAGTGGCAGGTACCATGTAGGGCCACTGCTGACAGCTTGTGTCAGGTACCATGTAGGGCCACTGCTGACAGCTTGTATGAAGTGGCAGGTACCATGTAGGGTCACTGACTGCTGACAGCTTGTATGAAGTGGCAGGTACCATGTAGGGTCACTGCTGACAGCTTGTATGAAGTGTCAGGTACCATGTAGGGTCACTGCTGACAGCTTGTATGAAGTGGCAGGTACCATGTAGGGTCACTGACTGCTGACAGCTTGTATGAAGTGGTAGGTACCATGTAGGGTCACTGACTGCTAACAGCTTGTATGAAGTGGCAGGTACTATGTAGGGCCACTGCTGACAGCTTGTATGAAGTGGCAGGTACCACGTAGGGCCACTGCTGACAGCTTGTATGAAGTGTCAGGTACTATGTAGGGTCACTGCTGACAGCTTGTATGAAGTGGCAGGTACCATGTTGGATCACTGCTGACAGCTTGTATGAAGTGGCAGGTACCATGTAGGGTCACTGACTGCTGACAGCTTGTATGAAGTGGCAGGTACCATGTAGGGTCACTGCTGACAGCTTGTATGAAGTGGCAGGTACTATGTAGGGTCACTGCTGACAGCTTGTATGAAGTGGCAGGTACCATGTAGGATCACTGCTGACAGCTTGTATGAAGTGTCAGGTACCATGTAGGGTCACTGCTGACAGCTGGTATGAAGTGTCAGGTACTATGTAGGGCCACTGCTGACAGCTTGTATGAAGTGGCAGGTACCACGTAGGGCCACTGCTGACAGCTTGTATGAAGTGGCAGGTACCATGTAGGATCACTGCTGACAGCTTGTATGAAGTGTCAGGTACCATGTAGGGCCACTGCTGACAGCTTGTATGAAGTGACAGGTACCATGTAGGGTCACTGCTGACAGCTTGTATGAAGTGGCAGGTACTATGTAGGGCCACTGCTGACAGCTTGTATGAAGTGTCAGGTACCATGTAGGGTCACTGCTGACAGCTTGTATGAAGTGGCAGGTACTATGTAGGGTCACTGCTGACAGCTTGTATGAAGTGGCAGGTACTATGTAGGGCCACTGCTGACAGCTTGTATGAAGTGTCAGGTACCATGTAGGGTCACTGCTGACAGCTTGTATAAAGTGTCAGGTACCATGTAGGATCACTGCTGACAGCTTGTATGAAGTGGCAGGTACTATGTAGGGTCACTGACTGCTGACAGCTTGTATGAAGTGGCAGCTACCATGTAGGATCACTGCTGACAGCTTGTATGAAGTGGCAGCTACCATGTAGGGTCACTGCTGACAGCTTGTATGAAGTGGCAGGTACCATGTAGGGTCACTGCTGACAGCTTGTATGAAGTGGCAGCTACCATGTAGGGTCACTGCTGACAGCTTGTATGAAGTGGCAGGTACCATGTAGGGCCACTGCTGACAGCTTGTATGAAGTGGCAGGTACCATGTAGGGTCACTGCTGACAGCTTGTATGAAGTGTCAGGTACCATGTAGGGTCACTGCTGACAGCTTGTATGAAGTGGCAGCTACCATGTAGGGTCACTGCTGACAGCTTGTATGAAGTGTCAGTTACCATGTAGGGTCACTGCTGACAGCTTGTATGAAGTGGCAGGTACTATGTAGGGTCACTGACTGCTGACAGCTTGTATGAAGTGTCAGGTACCATGTAGGGTCACTGCTGACAGCTTGTATGAAGTGGCAGCTACCATGTAGGGTCACTGCTGACAGCTTGTATGAAGTGGCAGGTACTATGTAGGGTCACTGACTGCTGACAGCTTGTATGAAGTGTCAGGTACCATGTAGGGTCACTGCTGACAGCTTGTATGAAGTGTCAGGTACCATGTAGGGTCACTGCTGACAGCTTGTATGAAGTGGTAGGTACCATGTAGGGTCACTGACTGCTGACAGCTTGTATGAAGTGGCAGGTACCATGTAGGATCACTGCTGACAGCTTGTATGAAGTGTCAGGTACCATGTAGGGTCACTGCTGACAGCTTGTATGAAGTGGCAGGTACCACGTAGGGCCACTGCTGACAGCTTGTATGAAGTGTCAGGTACTATGTAGGGTCACTGACTGCTGACAGCTTGTATGAAGTGGCAGCTACCATGTAGGGTCACTGCTGACAGCTTGTATGAAGTGGTAGGTACCACATAGGATCACTGACTGCTGACAGCTTGTATAAAGTGGCAGGTACCATGTAGGGCCACTGCTGACAGCTTGTATGAAGTGTCAGGTACCATGTAGGGTCACTGCTGACAGCTTGTATGAAGTGGCAAGTACCATGTAGGGCCACTGCTGACAGCTTGTATGAAGTGGCAGGTACCATGTAGGGTCACTGCTGACAGCTTGTATGAAGTGGCAGCTACCATGTAGGGTCACTGCTGACAGCTTGTATGAAGTGGTAGGTACCACGTAGGATCACTGACTGCTGACAGCTTGTATGAAGTGTCAGGTACCATGTAGGGCCACTGCTGACAGCTTGTATGAAGTGTCAGGTACCATGTAGGGTCACTGCTGACAGCTTGTATGAAGTGGCAGGTACCATGTAGGGTCACTGACTGCTGACAGCTTGTATGAAGTGGCAGCTACCATGTAGGGTCACTGCTGACAGCTTGTATGAAGTGGCAGGTACCATGTAGGGTCACTGACTGCTGACCACGCTGACAGCTTGTATGAAGTGGTAGGTACCACGTAGGATCACTGACTGCTGACAGCTTGTATGAAGTGGCAGGTACCATGTAGGGCCACTGCTGACAGCTTGTATGAAGTGTCAGGTACCATGTAGGGTCACTGCTGACAGCTTGTATGAAGTGGCAGGTACCATGTAGGGTCACTGACTGCTGACAGCTTGTATGAAGTGGCAGCTACCACGTAGGATCACTGCTGACAGCTTGTATGAAGTGGCAGGTACCATGTTCGATCACTGCTGACAGCTTGTATTAAGTGGCAGGTACCATGTAGGATCACTGCTGACAGCTTGTATGAAGTGGCAGGTACCATGTAGGGTCACTGCTGACAGCTTTTTGAAGTGGCAGGTACCACGTAGGATCACTGCTGACAGCTTGTATGAAGTGGCAGTTACCATGTAGGGCCACTGCTGACAGCTTGTATGAAGTGTCAGGTACCATGTAGGGCCACTGCTGACAGCTTGTATGAAGTGGCAGGTACCATGTAGTGCCACTGCTAACAGCTTGTATTTAGTGGCAGTTACCATGTAGGGCCACTGCTGACAGCTTGTATGAAGTGTCAGGTACCATGTAGGGCCACTGCTGACAGCTTGTATGAAGTGGCAGGTACCATGTAGTGCCACTGCTGACAGCTTGTATGAAGTGGCAGGTACCATGTAGGGTCACTGACTGCTGACAGCTTGTATGAAGTGTCAGGTACTATGTAGGGCCACTGCTGACAGCTTGTATGAAGTGTCAGGTACCATGTAGGGTCACTGCTGACAGCTTGTATGAAGTGGCAGGTACCATGTAGGGTCACTGCTGACAGCTTGTATGAAGTGGCAGGTACCATGTAGGGCCACTGCTGACAGCTTGTATGAAGTGGCAGTGTGAACCATGCCTATTTTTTAATTGCAACAATTTCAATAGCAGAAGTGTTCATGTTTGTTTAAAGTGTTTTCTTTGTTATTTCTTCAACTATACTTTTGTTGTATATGTATGTATAAGCAGTATGCATTGGACACTTCAAGGGAGATAACTCATGTCAGCAACAGTGAAGCCGCAGTGAACAACTGGCACAATGTCAAGAAAACATTGAATACCTGTTGAGCAAAAAATATGATTGTGTGTTCTTTGCCATCTTTTTTGCTCTCCAAGACGATGTAACAATGCTTTCTCAAACTTCTCTCTCTTCTGCTAGAAATCTGTTGCTTCACAAGTAGTGAAAACTTCCCAAGCAATTGTAGTTTTGTCTACACAAATTGTCTTTCTCTGTATCTTAATCAGGTTGGCCCAGTCGTCTATGTTGTCAGAATTCGCTGTGCAAACTTGCGCCCCATAATCATATGAGAAATGATTTGGGGTTCCAGGTTCACGTTTTATGTTTTAGGTTTGCCAGCATCTTACCTGTGCTCGTTGGTTTCACCAAAGTGATAAATGTTTGAGACCACTTCCGGCTTTCCTCCTACATTTAAGCTGACACGCCGTGATATAACTGGAATACTGTTCAAAGCGGCGTTGAACCCAACTCACTCTCTCACTGTATCTTTATCCTAATAAGTAGATCGTGCGTGGCTGGATAACTTTCTGTGTTCTGTTCAAGCGGTTAACATGGCTGTAGCTTGACATTTTTGTGTGCAGGACTCGGATGAGCCGGATATACAGGAACTGATTGCTTCCAGTCTCCACGACCTGTATGGTGAAGCTGCCCCCACGGCCATCAGCCAGGCTGGGGCGTGTCTCGCCTCCCAGTACCGGGGCAACGTCACCCACTTCCTCGCCCACTTCTTCTACCCCTGCCTGGAGGTTCTGGACAGAATCAAGATCTGTCAGGTAAGTCACCAATCAATGTAAAGGTTGCTAAATGTATTCTGCAATTTGTTGTTCTACACAGACTGGTCGATTTAAGTTGTTGAAATAATAGAGAATGAAGACCGACTTTCCGCTAAAATATCAAGTATTCAAACAATTTATGTCCGGTGGATGCATGTTTCCAAGTAGATAATCTGTGGTGTAAAGGGAAGCTAAACAGTGTCATTAGTAACTGTGCACATCTACTTGATTGTGTATGCTTCCCAGACATCATCTCCGTGTACACACTGGCCCTTAGTCTTTCTCCCAGACATCAACTCTGTGTACACACTGGCCCTTAGTTTTTTCTCCCAGACATCGTCTCCGTGTACATACTGGCCCTTAGTCTGTCTCCCAGACATCGTCTCCGTGTACACACTGGCCCTTATTCTGTTTCCCAGACATTGTCTCCGTGTACACACTGGCCTTTAGTCTTTCTCCCAGACATCAACTCTGTGTACACACTGGCCCTTAGTTTGTCTCCCAGACATTGTCTCCGTGTACACACTGGCCCTTAGTCTTTCTCCCAGACATCAACTCTGTGTACACACTGGCCCTTAGTCTGTCTCCCAGACATTGTCTCCGTGTACACACTGGCCATTAGTCTTTCTCCCAGACATCAACTCTGTGTACACACTGGCCCTTAGTTTGTCTCCCAGACATTGTCTCCGTGTACACACTGGCCCTTAGTCTTTCTCCCAGACATCAACTCTGTGTACACACTGGCCCTTAGTCTGTCTCCCAGACATCGTCTCCGTGTACATACTGGCCCTTAGTTTGTCTCCCAGACATCAACTCTGTGTACATACTGGCCCTTAGTCTGTCTCCCAGACATCAACTCTGTGTACATACTGGCCCTTAGTTTGTCTCCCAGACATCATCTCCGTGTACACACTGGCCCTTAGTCTGTCTCCCAGACATCAACTCTGTGTACACACTGGCCCTTAGTCTGTCTCCCAGACATTGTCTCCGTGTACACACTGGCCCTTAGTCTGTCTCCCAGACATCAACTCCGTGTACATACTGGCCCTTAGTCTGTCTCCCAGACATTGTCTCCGTGTACATACTGGCCCTTAGTTTGTCTCCCAGACATCAACTCTGTGTACATACTGGCCCTTAGTCTGTCTCCCAGACATCAACTCTGTGTACATACTGGCCCTTAGTTTGTCTCCCAGACATCATCTCCGTGTACACACTGGCCCTTAGTCTGTCTCCCAGACATCAACTCTGTGTACACACTGGCCCTTAGTCTGTCTCCCAGACATTGTCTCCGTGTACACACTGGCCCTTAGTCTGTCTCCCAGACATCAACTCCGTGTACATACTGGCCCTTAGTCTGTCTCCCAGACATTGTCTCCGTGTACACACTGGCCCTTAGTCTGTCTCCCAGACATTGTCTCCGTGTACATACTGGCCCTTAGTCTGTCTCCCAGACATCAACTCCGTGTACATACTGGCCCTTAGTCTGTCTCCCAGACATCGTCTCCGTGTACATACTGGCCCTTAGTCTGTCTCCCAGATATAATCTCCGTGTACACACTGGCCCTTAGTCTGTCTCCCAGACATCGTCTCCGTGTACATACTGGCCCTTAGTCTGTCTCCCAGACATCGTCTCCGTGTTCACACTGGCCCTTAGTCTGTCTCCCAGATATAATCTCCGTGTACACACTGGCCCTTAGTCTGTCTCCCAGACATCGTCTCCGTGTCCATACTGGCCCTTAGTCTGTCTCCCAGATATAATCTCCGTGTACACACTGGCCCTTAGTCTGTCTCCCAGACATCGTCTCCGTGTACATACTGGCCCTTAGTCTGTCTCCCAGACATCATCTCCGTATACACACTAGCCCTTAGTCTGTCTCCCAGATATGATCTCCGTGTACACACTGGCCCTTAGTCTGTCTCCCAGACATCGTCTCCGTGTACACACTGGCCCTTAATAGTCTGTCTCCCAGACATTGTTTCCGTGTACACACTGGCCCTTAGTCTGTCTCCCAGATATGATCTCCGTGTACACACTGGCCCTTAGTCTGTCTCCCAGATATAATCTCCGTGTACACACTGGCCCTTAGTCTGTCTCCCAGATATGATCTCCGTGTACACACTGGCCCTTAGTCTGTCTCCCAGATATGATCTCCGTGTACACACTGGCCCTTAGTCTGTCTCCTAGACATCGTCTCCGTGTACACACTGGCCCTTAATAGTCTGTCTCCCAGACATTGTCTCCGTGTACACACTGGCCCTTAATAATCTGTCTCCCAGACATTGTCTCCGTGTACATACTGGCCCTTAGTCTGTCTCCCAGACATCGTCTTCGTGTACACACTGGCCCTTAGTCTGTCTCCCAGACATCAACTCCGTGTACACACTGGCCCTTAGTCTGTCTCCCAGACATCGTCTCCGTGTACACACTGGCCCTTAGTCTGTCTCCCAGATATAATCTCCGTGTACACACTGGCCCTTAATAGTCTGTCTTCCAGACATTGTCTCCGTGTACACACTGGCCCTTAATAATCTGTCTCCCAGACATTGTCTCCGTGTACATACTGGCCCTTAGTCTGTCTCCCAGACATTGTCTCCGTGTACACACTGGCCCTTAGTCTGTCTCCAAAACATCGTCTCCGTGTACACACTGGCCCTTAGTCTGTCTCCCAGACATTGTCTTCGTGTACACACTGGCCCTTAGTCTGTCTCCCAGACATCATCTCCGTGTACACACTGGCCCTTAGTCTGTCTCCCAGACATCATCTCCGTGTACATACTGGCCCTTTGGTCTGTCTCCCAGACATCACATCCGTGTACACACTGGCCCTTAGTCTGTCTCCCAGACATCGTTTCCGTGTACACACTGGCCCTTAGTCTGTCTCCCAGACATCAACTCTGTGTACACACTGGCCCTTAGTCTGTCTCCCAGACATTGTCTCCGTGTTCACACTGGCCCTTAGTCTGTCTCCCAGACATCATCTCCGTGTACATACTGGCCCTTTGGTCTGTCTCCCAGATATAATCTCCATGTACACACTGGCCCTTAGTCTGTCTCCCAGACATCATCTCCGTGTACACACTGGCCCTTAGTCTGTCTCCCAGACATCGTCTCCGTGTTCACACTGGCCCTTATTCTGTTTCCCAGACATCGTCTCCGTGTACACACTGTTTGTGCAGCATGTACCAAACATGTGACCCTTTTTCGTTTTTGAAATTGTGGCAAACTGTGCTTAGTTTGCTTGCCTGAGAGACAATTCTTAACACTGGGCCTGTGATTTAGGACACAGTTTGGTATTGTGAGGACTTGTTAAACTGAAAGATGTAAATTTTGTACGGGCAGTAGTGTAACACTTTATTCTACATAATGAGTGGTATCTGGTATTTCTTGCAATTTTATATATAACTGGAGATAACCGAATTCTTCAGAAAAATCTACTGACAGGAAAGTAGGAAATGTCAAGTCTGTGGAAACGGTTACTTGTATTCTCTGCTACCAACTGACACTAATATGTTTGACATCCACAAGACAATATAATTAGTCAGCTTCTCTTGGTGCAAGGGGCACTGACAGAGAACATTTTGTTCTTGAAACACATTTGTTCAATTTACCTTGTGAACCATTTGTAAATATATAAAACTTAATGTTTGAGTATAAGCTTATTAAGGGTGTGTCCAACACGTGCTATTGACAGTGCCAGGTAGACCCAAGGTGTTGGATTCCCTCAATTAGCAGCTTCTCCTGGTTTGTTTGTGATAACGTTTGTCAGTGTCAATCAGGAGACAACACAGATATGTGGTTACTGCAAAAAACCAACACTTTTTGTCCAATATCCATGTTTTTATCATGAAATATATCTCATCTATTTGATGAAACATCTTGAATAACCGACCAGGGTTTTGTCAGCGTCACGTTTTACAAGGGATCTTACTCTGCGCTGCTAATTAAGCAAGCATGTAAATTGTGAAGGCACCACTTTGCCAGGTAGATGTGATCAGCCATACTCTGATAGGGTTATGCGTCAGGGATGGCCAGCTATTGTCGTGGCTGTTAGAAGTAGGTGGATGTCTATTGTTGCCCATAGTTTTCCCTCCTCACATGTCGCAGCTAAGTCCAGGGAAGGGATTGGTCAAGCTGTCCATGCTGTCTGGGAGAGGTCAGGGATTAATAGGGTCGAAGCTGTCGCTGTCTTGTCACTTGGGTATTATAGAGCTGAAAAAGCATGTTTGCAGGGGAATTACCTAGTTTCTTCTCTCACACACGTACAAATATGCACAAATATTTTGAAGCTTATTGTCAGTGATAATGCCTGTTTGAAGGAGATCTCATCCTGATCTATTAGTGGTGTTTATAGTGTCTGGGTTGGATGGCCAGGGCTGCAGTGTGTATGTTGGAGAGAGTTGTGGGATATGTATGAATGGCTACGACTCGCGACATTGTCACCAGGTATGACTGGATAGCTGTCTCAGCTCGCTGACACTGTGTGCTTCTGGCTCTTGGCACTGTATTTGTTAACGCTGAAAGTGCAGTGGTTTAACTGAAGATTAAACATATTTTTGAATGACATTATTTGTGCATAAGTCGACATGTCTGCCTGACTTGTGTTCAGTGATGGTCTGAGTTGATGGTCATCTTGAAATAGCCGACATGGAGCATGTTGTACATGTAGTCTTGTAATCAGTGGTTGATGGATCAGTCAAGGCATGACCCAGACCATATTGCATCATTCAACAAGTCCAGGAATATAGTTATAAAAGACAAAACACTTTTTATTTCTTGTTTTTCTTGGTCAGTATGCAAGGAGCATCCAGCAATTAATGAAATGAAATAAAAAAGGTTCACCAGGTTGCTCTGAAAAGAACTGATTAGGTAAGATTCTTTACAAAGTCACGTACAAAATTTTTTTTACAAAGTAATTGTTTCAATCGAATTCAGTTTTTTTATTTACCTTTTTTATTCTTGCCAATTTTAGGGAATGCTTTTTAATAAAACATGAAGATAA